TGGCAGCCCAAGCTAACTGAGACAGTGCACAGAACGGCCTGGGAGCACAGTCACAAATTGGGGCAATGATGAACATCCACATTCAGAATTCAAAGAGAGTAACTTCCTCATGAGTGCCACTTGACCACAGTGTCCTTATCAAGAGTTCAGGACAACATTGTGGATATCTGTAGAGTTCTGTCTTGGAGCCAGCAACCCTAACCCCAATTCTGGTTGTGATTTCCTCATGCCAAGAACAATCAGGTGTAGGGTAGAAGGTGAAATGACTGGGGGAGGGACCATCATATGGAGCAAGACAGCCAACTCCAAATTCTGGCTCACATTACCTCAGAAACCTACTATAGCTTGAGTCTGCCATATAATGATGAAGACCATTGGAAACAAAGATTTCCATCACCCACAGGGCTGTGATGGGCACTGAGTTAAGGCACATTTCCTCCCCTGGTGTGAGAGCAATGATGCTGGGAATGTAGGTCTCTCAGCTTGTTTCCCACCCTCAGGACCTTCCTTCCAGTTCCCCTACATCCCAGCCTCATTTTCTGTCCCACACTTTTCCTTGTCAGAGCTCAAGGAGAAGTTCTGGGTCCCTGGGAAGAACACTCACATGAGTGGAGTCTTAGGAAGGTGCTGGTGGACTAGGATCTTGAAGCACTGCCAGTGCCCGAAGATTCTGTAGACGCTCTGAGGTCCACTGGAGTCATCTGGTGGCACCGCAGCTGGTATACCCTCCCCGTACACTCCCTGTGGCCATTGGTGGGCATTCATTGGGAAGACAATGGGGGTCACTTGGGCAAATGGTGGTGTTGCTGGAGTGTGAAGGCTCAAAGTCCATCAGCTCCCATAGTTCTGGGTCCCCCCACTGGCTGAGGCAGGCACAGTTGTCCTCCAGGCAGAAGCTGCTATGAGGAATGGAGCAGGATGATCCACACCACCTCAGAAGGCCCCTGGGGCCCTCCAATTGAGGAGCACCTGAGTGAGGGCAACCTTCTGAATGTGGCTCTCCTAGCCTCCATCTGGCCCATGTTGATCAAAGTTGAATAGCCTAGACACACACACAGCAGGGACACTGCTCCTGCTGCCATTGATATTTCAGGGTAAGGAGACTGCACCAGTGGGTTACCCTGGGAGATTGGTGCAGTCACAGGAGGCAACATGGGCAGCACCCAGATTGGCTGGTGTGTTGGCACAGGAGCAGAGGGAAGACAGGGCAGGTCTCTGAGGGGAGACATAGGGGAGCCAGGTTCTGCCTGGTGTCAGCATTCAAGATGTTGTGGAGCAAAGTAAGGGCAAGTGGCTGTAGGAGTGAGGCCCCCAGCCTTTGTCACTGGGCATCTGAGGAGGAATGGCAACAGCTCAGGGTCTCGTGGGCAGGAAATCGTGGTTTGCAACTTTCTCTGAGTAAAATTTAGGCTTCCTTCCTCCAATCAAAAGTATCACTCAGAGAAATCTTGATCCCAGTACTCAAACATTCCCTGAACATGGTCTATAGTGACACCTCAGTTTTCCCTGACTTAGAGGCCCCTTGGCATCCTTTGCTGACAATGGGTCAGCGTCCAAGGCATCTCACTGGAAACTGACTCTGCAGAGTGGCACCATGCCTCTCAGCATTCTCACCAACAGGAAGGAGACCTCCCTTCTCCAAGAAAGTTCCAGGCACTCCAAGGCCTATATGAAGGTGACAAGTTCATAATTTATGGGTCCATCACCTCCTCAGCCTTCCTTTTGCTGATTCTCCTTGGAAAACCCTGTTTCTTTCCTGGCCTTGCACAAGTAAACAAAAGCACCTGAGTGAAATGTCTCCCCAGCTAGAGCCTGAGGAACCCTGAAGGTCACCAGGAGCACATCCTGCCCATAGTGGGGGTACTTCTCCCAGCACTTCTAACCACAAACACCAGTGGGGACACATATTCTGGCACCTCAGTGTATCTGTAAAGAGGGTTTTTCCAAGAGAATTCTTGACATGGCCACAACTAGATTAGCACTTGAATATTTTGGCAGGAGGTGCAAAAGCCATGGTCACAGAACTGTTCTCAACTTGAAATGAATCAAGGCAGGGGACCTAAATCGTACGAGTAGAGATTGTATTTGTTTCACCCACCCAGATGCATGAGAAATGACAGTTTTAGTTAAGAATGTTCAACATAAAGTAGAAAGAATGTCATTCATTCTTAAATTTTGAACCACGGGAGATGCAGTGCTAAAACTGAACACCCAAGGGCCACACTTGCACATATCAAATAAATGGTGGGAAGAGTTGATAGGCACAGAGATAGTTCAAAAGTGTTGGGAAAACATACGGGGGGAATGGGGTTGATAGCTAAAAGACAAGAGATTTCTTTTTGAGCTGATGGAAGTACTCTATATTTTGTTGTAGTCGTGAAAGAAATGTTTATTGCCGACATGGTGGCAAAGTCTATGAAAACTAGATTTCTAATATTTGATGGGTGGTGTGAGTTATGTGAATGTCTTCCTAAAGTGATTTTGTAATGATCTGCAGCAAAAATAGTGAGATGTTAGCAGACAATGCCTCAGATGGTTGGCCAGGGTGCCACAGCCTGGCCAAGATCCCAGGAAACTGTCCTGGCCAATGCATAGAGATCAGGAGGAAGTTTATAAACTGAGTTTCTATAAGAGTGCATCTAAAAAAAGGGGACATACAAGGGCCCAGTTCCTCTGGTCACTTTCAGAAAGCACAGCTTTTCATTAATAGAGGGAGTGGGTCTTGGTGGTGTCAGTTGATGACTCCCTCGTGTGCTATGACTTCTTCCCCTAGAAGTCAGGGCCAGTCCTCTCATCAAGCCATCTATTGAGGAAGACCGTGGCCATGCTGGGGTTTTGTCCATCCTCACTGTCCAACATCATTCAGGGGAGGAGAAAGAAGCTGTCTAAACACATAATGTTTCCAGAATTACTTGTAGAAACCTGATTAATGGCACAGGGGCCTGAAGACTCCAAAGCAGTTCTGCATCCAAATGAGACAGGAGGGCTCAAAGTTGTCAAGAAATACTTGAGAAAACATTGTGTCCCTGTCTGTGAAAGCCATGGAACCTGTGTCCTATGAAGAACCATGGTGTTTGATTATACATGACAGACCACAAACTACATCACGTCTGATCCCTTTTGTGCATGTGAGAACTCACCCCAGCTCTTATCTCATCAGGAGCACTAAACTGTAGCCTCCTTGTAATTAAACCATTCTCCTTTGCAAACTTCTCGGTTTCATAAACGGGCAAACCATGTTGTGTAGCCTCGGTTTCTTTTTCTCATTGGTTTGTAGGAGAACTTGATTACATTTGGGACAGCCACGAGGAACACAGGTCAGGCTGTGGTCAGGGTAGGGACGACACTAGGGAGGGTCAGAGCTATGTCAGTGGTGGTTCTGCCTTGGGATGCAGTCAGAGCCTCCAGGCTGCTGGGTCCCCAGGGAGTTCATGGTCAGGACTGTAGAGGGGGTGAGAGGGTGGGAGGAAAGCCATGATCTCTCATCAGGCCACCTACACAGGAAGACCATGGCCATGCTGGGGATCAGTCCAACCACTCTGTCCATCATCATTCAGGAGATGAGAAAGAAGCTAAGAAAAAAGACAAAACAAATGTTTCCAGGCTTATTGCTAGAAACCTGGTTAATGGCACAGGGGACTGAAGGCTGAAAAGTAACTCTCCTTCCAAAGGAGACAGGAGGGCCCAAAGATCTCAAGAGGCATGTTATAAAAAAAATCATGCCCCTTTCTGTGATGGCCATGGCTGCCACAAATGCCTCATAGTCACTCGGAGCCTTTTGCTTCCATAGCAGGTCCTCCCCAGATGACTGCACTCCTTGCCTGGAGTGCAAGGAGTCCCTCCCCTAACCATGCTTAGGCAGAAATACTGGGGATATCTTCAAGGACACTGCATGCTTGAGCCCATCTTTTTAATTCAAATAAATTTGTTTCCCCATCTCCTTTTGCCAACAGTGGCTGTGCATCCCTTCATGATCTGTACCTCTTCCCATTCTGCTGCAGCAGGAGTCCTAATGAAGGCTCTTAGGGATGGGTAGAGTTTGTATATTCAGACTCTCATCTCAACTGGAGCAGGTCATGTTGGTTGCACTGAAAACTGGCAAACTGGGTAGGTCAACCTTAGGGTGGCCGGCACAGAGAGTGACCCAGAGCAGTGGTGAGCTACAGGAGCTGCTAGGTCTGTCAGATGAGTTCCAGGGCACTATTGGAAGTGGCTGGCTACTGCCCCTAGGAGAGCAACAGGAGAACGGCTGCCCCTAGGAGAACAACAGGAGAACGGCTGCCACTAGGAGCTGGGGGTTGCTGACATTCAATGTCAGGTACTAACACTACGGTCTGAGAGCCCCATGTCAGTCCTCAGATCTCAGAGCTCCAACACCAAGGAAGATGTGCTTTGCCTCTTTGTGATTCCTCTTCATGTCTGGCCCTCAGATAATTGGTAAGAGAGATGTTTAAGGGGCACAGATCATGAAGGGATGCCCAGAGAAGATTCCCTAAACCAAGAGAGGCCTTTTCAATGGTGTGATGATTAGGGTTTTCTCCTAGGATCAGAGGAAGAAACAGTCTAAATCTGCAAACAAGACCCAATAGATGGATGCTTGTGCTTCCTTCGTCCTGGCAACCCCAGTTGTCTCCTCTCAGTTCTCACTGCATGGACATGCACAGAAAATATGGCAGAGTCAGCAGCCACAGAAGATGTTTCCTACCAAACTGCCTTTATTATAACTGACAGTCCAACAGGGTACAGCTTCCCACCAAGGCGTGAACATCGTGACCCTCCCCTCTCAGTACCCTCCCTTCTGCCCCACACCTGCCCTCTTTCTACATTCCCTGTACCCTCCCACCCCCTTCACTTTCCTGAGAACCTGCAGGAACTGCCCTGTGTGGGGAAGAGGTCTTCACAAGCTGAAGACCTTTGGCCCTTCTGGTGTAGAATGAAGCAAAGGTGATTCTTGCCTGAGGGGCAGCCACCCCAGAGGCCACCGGCCAACACTTCTGTCCTCAGGGCCTCTTCTTCTTCTGGTTGCCAGATGACACACACTTTCTCTTCTGAGGCTGTGAGGTTCCACCTAGCTCCAGGTCCACACCTTGCCCTCCGATGACCTGGAGGGGAGGCCCCGTGCAGGGCATCTTTTCCACATTGCATGAGCGTCCAGTGAGAACACTCTTCATGGTCATGGCACCTGGAGGAGGGTGGGAGCTGAGGCGCCCCCTCTGGGGAGGTGCGGCCTGGAGTGGTTGGTCTCCTGAGCACAGGGTTTCTATTTGAGGGGCCTGGCTCTGGGACAGTCCCCAGGGCAGCAGGCGGTTCTGGGAGTTAAGGAGGAAATCCAGGCTTTGGAGGTCATCGTCCACACTGCAGCCATTGGCTGTCTTATGTGGCCGCCCAGAAGAAGTGGCTTTTCTGGGTCCCACTACGCCTTTGTTCCCCAGGTTTAAGGAGGAGGATCTGCAGTTATGGGGAGGATGGTTGGAGTGCATGTTCCCCAACGAGGATGACCAGTGACGGCCTTGGAGGACAGCAGAGTCCTTCGATCCCAGCAACTCTGGCTCCATGGCCCTGCGCCTCTTCATGACCTGGGAAGCCACCTCTGTGGACCAGTCCTCCATGCCGGCCCCTTGATCAGTGTGATGTTTCCGTTTCTCTGCACCTTGGTTGGCAGGTGTCTGGGAAGCTCTTGAGTCCTGTTGGGACATACCATGACCTTGAGGCCCCTGAAGAGCTGCTTCTTTACAAGCTGAAGGAGAATATGGGCACTGGCCAACTCTTCTACATGCATGAAATGGGCCACAGGGACTGGGACAATCATTTCTTTGGGAGGTGGGAAGTGGAGAGACAGACTGAGTCTCTGCTGGCCACCCTCCTGGGCTTCCTTTATTCTTGATGCCCTGAACCCATCCATGACTCTCCTGTCTCCTTCCTTTCCCTTCTACATCCTATGTCCTGTGAAGTCACTCAAGGAAACATGTATCATAGGCAGGATAGAGACAGATGACGTCCTGTGGGCCACATGACTAGGGTCCTGTGCCTTCCTCATCTACGTGCTATCCCTTGATCCTCTGTCCACCTGTGGCCACTCCCTTTCTTGTCTATTTGTGTCCCTTTGTCTCCTAGCCGGCCAGTATTGCTCTCTGCCTTATCCACTTGGTGTCTTTCTCCAAGTCCCATAACCCTGGTTTGTCTACCTCCATAGTTCTATGTGGTGCCCCTTTCTCTTCTCTATCTTTTCTTTCTCCCCAACCCCTGATGTTCCTGCCATTGTCTGTGAGGAGTATAACCAGTGTACCTTCTACCTGGTTTACTGGGGGACCCTCCTTCCCTGTCTACCTGGTCAGGCGTGAGTCCTTCCTCCTGGTCCAGCTCTTTTGTTAGGGCCAAGATATTTATGGATGGTTCAGAGGAAAGTATTTCTTCCAGGAAGCGGGGGTGAATTATGCTCTCTGCCTGGGATGAGAAGGAAGAGAGTGTGAGTGACCTTGGGAGTAAATAGCCCCAAGTCAGGAAGACTTCTAGTAGAAACTGGAAGCAATGATGATCCCATTCTCGTTCCACCATGGGGATATTATAGCCCAACAACCTGCTACAAACATTTACAAGAGTGTGTGCGTGTGTGTGTGTGTGTGCATGCACATACACACACACAGATTCTGCTGAGCAACTGTGCTAGAAGCTCAGTTCCATGAGTTTTGCAACCTTGACTACACCAAGATGGTAGGCGTGGCCCACCTTGTTGACAAAGTCCTCATCAACGTAGCTCAGGAGACTTGGATCTGGGTATAAATCCTCTATTGGCTGATGCTCCAGTCCTTCCTCTCCCAAGATCTCAGCAAGCTCTTCTGTGGACAAGTGGGAGGGCTCCCATGTGGCCAAGCTGGTAGGCCCACATAGCTCATCCATGATGTCCATGTACTCTTGGATGGCTTCAGGTGGGATCTCCTCGGGCGCCTTGGTCTCAGGCCCGTTGGTCTTGGCCACCTTGCTCTTGCGTGCCTTGGTCTTGCGTGCCTTGGTCTCAGGCACCTTGGTCTCTGGTGCCTTCGGTTTGGCTGCTAATGAGCAGGCAGGCTGTAATTTGGGGCTGGTCTTTCTGCACCCTAGGACAGGGAGGACCAGAGTGGTGCATGAATGAGGGATCCATGTGCATCCCAAACACTGGGTAGTAGGCAGGGTTCAGCGGACCTAACTGGCATGCCATGCATGAGGCAACCTGACCAGGACCTGAGGGATAAAACAGTGCACCAGATGCACCATCTAGGAGAGTCTAGTGGGAGCACATTTAGAGTGACTGATATTCCATGTGCTCTACCCTCCAAGACCCAAGTCCTGGGCAGATGATATGTGTGTTCTCTGGACAGGCAAAAAGAGAAAGGAGCTGTGTACTTGTGCTGGTGAATACGCAGTTCAGGGCTGGGTGGCAGGGACCTCAGGGGCTAGGGGCTGTTCTGCTTACAAGACCAAATCCCCCACACTGAGGGAAAAGGTCTTATTTGAGACAACAACTTGCCTTAGCCCTTGTCACCATTCGGAGACTATCGTGGGCTCCTGTGGGAAAGAGGGAACCCTACCTGGCCGTTGGAAAGCCTCAAGGACTGGCGGCTTTGAAAGTTGCAGCATTGGAGGTACAGGAGGAGGTCGGCACTGGAAGACCCCTGACAACTGCATCCTTGGATCCTCCATCTCCTCCGCAGCCTCAAACTCCATGAACCTTGGTGGGTAAGGGAGGCACAGGCTGAGCTGAGAAGCAGGTCAGCCATACCAGGCAGGTGCTAGCCCCATACCAGGGAGGAGCTGGGGGCAGAGATATGGAGCTGTGTCCTGGAGTGGTTCAGGCCAGTCCCAGGAGGGAGCTGCTACATAGGAAGAGTGGCAGTTCTGAGGGAACACCACATCAGCCAGCACCTGAAGGGAATCAGCTGTGTGACGCGGCATAGCCCTAGGTGACCCTTGTTTCCCCTGTCCCTGCCAGGAACCACATGGATCAGGCAAGTTCCAGAAACTGGTCAGGGAAGTGATGTATATGAGGGTCCTGGCCCAATTAAGGGATGCTGAGGCTGGGACCTTGAGCCTTGAAGGATCACCTGGGAAAGAAAGGCATAGGAGGGGTCATGTGGAGGTGGAAGCTGAACTGAGAACATTGGGTTGCTTCCCCGGAGGGCCGGTTCTTTTTCTTCCTTTCTCTTGTTGGAATGCCAGGGATTTCATAGAGCAAAGGCAGTAAAGATGGCAGACCTGTCCTAGGGCATCTGAGGTTCTGGATGCCCCTGACCCTGCACTCTTCACTGCCACCCTCTTCTGGTACATTGGGTTAAAGGGGTGACCACTTTCATGAGATCCAGTAGTCCCCACTCTGTAAAGAGGTGCCAGTTCCCGGGCAGGTGGTGTGTGTGAGGCTAGTGGAACTCTTTACCTCTGCCCAGACAGCAAAGGAGAAGGAGTCAGTGTGGCTGGACTGGTTTTTCCTCCCCATTGGGACCCTGAACCTCAAGGCACAGTTGGAATCACGAACATTGAGGCTGGAGATTCTGGGATTGTTGCAGAGAGAATGTCCAGCGCTTCAGCTAGAAGGAGCTGCAATTTGGAGAGCTAGACGCCTCAGAGCCAACACATAGGTAGGTGACATGCCCTACCCGACCCTGCTGTGCAAACCCTGAATTCCCACCACTAAGTTCTGGGCCCTGGAATCTAGCTCACTTTTGTGAGGTCTCATAGAAGACCATCCGGTCAAAGTTGCTGGTGCGCTGCCATTCCTGCAAACCCTTCCGCAGGCCCTCTTCCATGGTCATGGTGGGCTCCCGTCGGGACAGAGACCGAAGCACTGGGCTGGAATTCATCAGGATCAGTGTCCACAAGGTCACCCTCCTTCATCAGCAGACCAACATACCTTCCTAACTTTGTTACATTTGACCCATCATGTTCACCTCAAAGTATTGACATTGGGACTCCAGGACACTTATACCAAACCTGAACACCAAGGGCTGCATTGAGCAGCATGATTGTGCTTGGATTCCTCAATGATGTGGTGTACTAGGTGCTGAATGTTTTTATCCTCCCGCATTCACCTGTTGAAGCCCTAACCCCCAGTGTGATGGTATCTGGAGACTGGCTTTAGTGCTTAGAGGGTTAGATGAGACCCTGAGGGTGGTGCTTCATGGGGGCATTAGTGGTCTTCCTGGAGAAGGAGGAGACACTGAAGAGATGTCAGTCATGTGAGGACGCAGGTGAGCCAGCTGTCTTCCCAGCAAGGAGAAGAGAGCGTTCATGGGACTTTAGGTCAGGTACCCTTTACCTGGGAATCCTGATTCCAGAACTGTGAGAAAGGAATACCTGCCTGTGTTTGTGTCCACGTGTTCCATAGTGTCCTGTATGGTGGCCCAGGCTGACTAAGACAGTGCACAGAATGGCCTGGGAGCACAGTTACAAACTGGGGCAAAGATGAACATGCCCATGCAGTATCCAAAGACAGCTTCCCCATGAGTGTGACATCACCAGAGGGTCCCAATCAGGAGTTCATGACAATGTGTGTGGGTATCCTTAGAGTTCTGTCTTGGGGCCAGCACCCCTAACCCCACTTGTGGTTGTGATGTCCTCTGTGCCAGGAACAATCAGCTCTATGGTGGAAGGTGAAATGACTGGGGGAGGGACCATTATGTGGAGTCAGACAGCCCACTCCAGTTCCTGGCCCACATTACCCCCAGGAACCTCCTCTGACCTTGAGTCCTCCATATGATGGAGATGATCATTGGAAACAAAGATTGCCTGCACTCACAGGGCTGTGATGGGCACCTGACATAAGGCACGTTTCATTCCCTGGTGTGAGGGGATACATCTGGGAATGTAAGGCTCTCAGCTTGTCCCCTCACCCTCAGGACCTTTCTTCCAGTTCCCCTACATCCCAGCCCCCTCTTTCCAACCCATGCTTTTCCTCCTCACAGAGCTCAAGGAGGAGCCTGAGGAGAACACTCACACAAGGAAGCAGGAAAGTGCTTCCACATCAGGAGTCTGAGGAAGGTGCCTGCGGACCAGGGTCTTGAAGCGCTGCCAGCGTCTGAAGTCCTCATAGACGCTGGGAGGTCCGCCGGAGTCATCTGGTGGCACCGCAGATGGGAAGATGGGTGGTGCACCTGCCCCATACCCTGTACCTGGCCACTGGCGTGCATCCATTGGGAACATGATGGGGGCCAGCTGGGCAAATGGCTGTGGTGCTGGAGGGCGAAGGCCCAGGTGCCAGTGGATCCCATAGTTCTGGATCCCCCCACTGGCTGAGGCAGGCACAGTGGTCCTCGGGGCAGAAGGTGCCGTGAGGAATGGAGCAGGATGCTCCACACCCCCACAGAAGGCCCCTGGGGCCCTGAAGTTGAGGGGTGCCTGAGTGTGGGCAATGTTCTGAATATGAGGAGGCCCTGCTGGCCTCAGTTGTGGCCCATGTTGTCCAAAGGTGGACAGCCCTGGCACATATGGTTGTCCAGGGTAAGTGGACAGCACCAGAGGGTTACTCTGGGAGATGGGTGCAGTCACCCGTGGTGCCAAGGGAAGCTCCCAGAATGGCTGGTGTGTTGGCACAGGGGCAGCTGGAAGAAAGGGCAGGCCCCGGAACGCAGACATGTGGGCACCAGGATTGACATTCATGTCTGGTCTCTGGGATGCAGATGCTGTGGAGGCAAAGCAAAGGGAAGAATGGAGGAGGGGAAATGGCAGCAGGATTGAGGTCCCCCAGTTTCTTACTTAGTGGGAATCTGAGGACAAATGCTCACAGCTCAGGGCCCTGTGGGCAGGCAAATTGTGCAGTTTGCAAATGTTCCTGAGTGAATTTCATGTTGTGTTCCCTTTGTCATAGTTCTACCCAAAGAAAACTGTTTCCCAGGACACCAGGACTCCCTGAAGGCTGTCAGTGGACTGTGGTCCCTCAGCTTTCCCTGCCTCTGAGAGGGCCCTTGTGCATCCTTTGCAGACAATCATTAGCCTCCTAAGTGACTCCCTAGAAATGGATCAATTTGACTCTCTCAGTGGCACCATGCCCCTCCTCATGCTCACCAACAGGAAAGGGATCTTCTCGAGGGCAGATGCAGGTACTCCAGGGTTATTTGTGAAGGTGACAGGCTCTAAAGTTTATTGCCCCATCACCTCCTCAGCCTTCCTTTTGCTAATACTCCTTGTATACCCCTCCACTTCTTTCCTAGGTCTCCACAAACAAACAAAAAACACCTGATTTAGATCTCTGCCTAGCTAGAGGCTGAGGAATCCTGAAGTTCACCCTGCCCAGCATGTGGGTGCTTCTCCTAGCACTTCCCACAGTAAACACTAATGGGGGAACAGAGTCTGGTCAGCCATGTCCCCAGTGTTCATTGGTCCCTGCCATGACATAGGAAGCTCTGTTCCCAGGGAAGAGGTCTTTGTGATAGACACTGAGTTCCCGAGATCCTCTCCTGCCCTGACCAGCAATGGCTGCTGAGGTTCATGGAAGGTGATGGGATTGTGAGCAGTGGGGCTTTCAAGAGATTTTCACAGCCACTGGTCATGTTATTACTGGGCCTGGGAATTGGGGCCATTCTGAGGTCCTTTTCCTTTTAGCTCCCAATCACAGAATGATGGTGTCACAGAGAACCAGGTCTGCACCAGCTGCCAGGTGTGGCCGGGTTGTCTGGAGCACATCTCTGTTCACTAGTGTAGTCAAGGAATGTGAGGTCCACCACACTTCCACACTTGCACATGTTGATCAGGACCCCTGCCTAACTTCAGGTGACAATATGAGTAGGGCCCCTTCCTAACTGGGTGCTATTCTCTTTCCTCTCTTGAAAAGAACCCAGTCATCTTCAAACCTGATCCTTGAAAAAAGGACACCTCACATGTGTTCATGGAGTACCAAACAAGGAAGATGAGAGAAGTCTTCCTGCCAACATGAAATAAAGGACTGAGGCTACCCCACAGAGAGGGGCCAACACCGAGAAGCTCTGAAAGAACTCCTCTTTCCATGAAAGTGATAACAATTCAGAAGACCTCACAGGGGCCCAAATCTATGTTGGTTGAAGTTTTCTGGGTTCCCTGACCTTTAGGAATCAAGAACACCAACTGTCTGAATGGAAGGAGAAGTTGGCGAGGCAACTTCTGGGCAGGAAGTTGGCGAGGTGCCCTGGGCTGTGGCAGTTGGAGTGCCCTGCAGCCTCACCCACAGAGTATATCACACTGCATTTGTGGTCATTGAGAACCCCACTGGGCAGTTTTCTAACTAATAACACTTCTCAACACTGCCCAGTTATCATCTGAGACTCTCAGTCAATCCCCTCAGAATGACATCCCAGGCAGCTTCCCTGTGTCTGAAGAATGGACACAGGGTTCAGCATCTGGACTCCAGGGAGCCGTAACTGACCACCACTGTGACACCATCTGTGACTGCCTAAAAAATCATGCCGTGATCTGTGTCCATTTTATAAGGAATCAATCCCTTGGCCTCTCTTCTTTCTGTTGAACCAGTATAATTCCCCTGAGTAGCCTGGACCTGGTCTTAGGAGCCCTCCTTCCCATTAGCAGTATCAGTCTTCCTGGGGCTTCCTGGGCCATGTCAAGTGCATTCTCTAAGGCTCTTTCCTTCCCTTACTTCTGCTCAGTGAGTTGCCCACAGGGGAAGTACTCCATTCTAACTCCCAAGGGTTTTGGGGGTGACTGGCCCTCAGATAACAAGCCCCTGACCCTCCAGGCTCACCTCCTTCCAAAGTTCAGGATACTGGTCACAGTGTCTCACAGTCTCCACAGTGGGAAACGTCAGTAGAGGACCCAGAGAGTGACCTGTCTGTAACAGATGCTCAGGGCCCAACTGAGCCAAGCTGGGACAAGTTTAAATGTAAACCCCAGTGGAATGTTGGACCCAGACATTCTGCAGGGGGGAGGGGCCAAGGGGAGCTGGCCTGGGTGGGGGCTGGGCAGACATTCCATGAAGAGCTCTGTCAGGTATAGAAGAACCTTGAGTTCCCTTCAGGCAATTCAGTGGTGACACAAGTGGTGTGTGCCTCTGGGTCATTTTGAAGTATTTTCTCAAATGTATGGCAGAGTGGTGAGAGCCATGGCTCTCATGAGCCACACAGTCACGGGTCTGAACAGCCCATACTCTAAACTGGAGGGTATGGATTGCATTTTATGTATAAATTGGTTTTTTTCATCCCATCCCCTGTCAGCAAAACAGACTCTTGGGTGTTCCTGAAATATTCCACACCTTATTATAAGTCCTTTCAATGAATGGGGGAGGGGGCAAACTAAGAAGAAGCTTCTTTCACTCTTTATGTAGTTATTCCCCACATTGATGTCAGTGATGAAATAGCTGGTGGGGCTTTATTTTTTTTAAACTAGTGATATAAAATATGCAGTGTAGAAAAACTGTCTTTCCATTCCACAATCAGTTTGTTTTTAGTAGTTTCTTATACTGAATGATGGAGTTCAGATTCTCAAAGCAAGCTTTATTTGTAGACCCAGGTCGAATTCAGGGGCCTTGAATACTCTTGGTCAGTGCTTTGCCACTGAGCTTCAGCATTACCCCATCAGTCTTGCACTGCTTCAAACTGCTCATATAATCACATACTCAAATGCAATTTTTGCAAAGTGGCCATGGGAAGGAGCATTGAAATGTCCTTTTGTCCTACCATCTGACCTTTACTCTTGTAAAGTCCTGAACTCATATTGATTGCTGAAGGGAAAAAAATTAAAAACACTGTGAACATGGATGTCCTTGTCATCAGGAACATTGGCGGAATGCTAAAGGCCCTGCCTCCTGTAATGCCTTTCCATCCTAGGACCTTGGCAGTGTCACATGTGACATACCTTCCACATTATCCTTTGGAAAGAAACGGTACTAATTATCTAAATTTCCAGAAAGAGAATCAAAGGATTGTTTTTGTTTGTTTGTTTTGGGGCAATGCATTTCAGGGTCAATGGGATCCTTGGTACACATTTGAAAAGTTCAGGCTAAAAGTATGCCATGGAGTAGAAAAGGAAGAGGATACATTTGGTGTGTGTGCAAATTGATCGACATTGCCGAGTCTTCATCAAACATATGGGAAAAACTGTCAAAGAGAACATTTGGGCATCTGTATATAGTGGGAGGGCTGTCAGTATGCAATAATGTGCTCAGTAGGCAAAATCAAGGAATGGGGTTTTCAGAGTGTTACCCAGACCTATAATTCTTGGAACCTACAGCTGGACTAGGAGGAGAGCACAAACTGATGTTCGTGGGAAGGGGGTATAAACACTGGGCCCAAATGGGGAGCCAGTGCTTCAGGGTAGAGAGCTTCCAAGGGGTGCACAGGGCGGTCTCTAAATTTATAACATGAAAATCACTTTGTCATTTCAGATGCTCTGGCTGAAAGAAGGGCCAGCCCAGAGGCTCTGGAGAGGAGCCGCAGACACCTGGCAGGCTTCCCGACCCACTTGGTGCTCCCGCAGCGGGTCCCTCCTGCACCCCTCGCGCATGCGCACGTGGTTGGCTGGAAGCGCGCGCTCCCAGGCTGCCCCAACTGCTCCAGCTTCCGTTGGGGCTCCAGCGGGGCAAGGCGCAGGCGCGAGCGCTGACGGCGGGTTCCCAACGGCCGGCAGGGCTCCCATGGCGGCGTCCAGACTCAGTCCCGTAGGCCCGAGGTACTGGACCCGCGAACCTCTCCCGTCCCCAGTGTGTCCCTGCCTGGTCCTCTGGCCCCTGCGCCTCGCCGGGCAGCCCGGGCGCCGGCCTCGCCTCCCCTGGGACGTGGGCCGCCCGCACCAGGCCTGGAAGTGAGGGGCGCGTCGGCCAGTGAGGCGCCTTGTCGAAGCGTCGTCTGTCCGTGTCCCTTGCAGCCTGTGCAGCGCCAGGCTCCAGGGCACCTGTGTGGTGCTTGAGAAGTGCGGTCCTGGTCAGCAGGTCCGTGGCTCCTGTTGGTGTCAGACGAAGTGGTGACGGTCATCTCCTGTTCCCTGTGAAAGCTGTGAATGTTGGGGACACCGTCAGCCGGCATCCGGGTTGTTAGGCTGAAGGACATTCATTTCCTGTGACGTTAGCGACTTTGCAGAAGGGAACACACTGAGCCCAGTGCGCTGAGTCCGCTGTGGTCACACCGTGATTGACGGCCGTCATAGGTGGGCTGTTGGTGGGCGCCTCTGGACAGAGCACCTAAATGATGACGGGAGAATCCTGTCACCCCAAGTCGTGTGCAATAAAGAGACTTGTGTTGTATTATTAACGTGTGGTGCTTGTGTATTGTGCAGTGACACTGATGATGTGCCCTCACGTGTGGTTGGTGGGCTGTTTGGGGGGCCCTTGTGGGTATTTCTGGGTGCCAGGAAGTTTTCCTTCCGTCTTGATGGGCATGAGGATCAAGGGGTGGTTGTTTGTGCAAGAAAATGAGTCGCTGCGCTGGTCCTTCTATGGTTGGTAGGAGTTCAGCGGGCATGAGGGTTTTCTCTGTTCCTTTGGTCAGGTGGTGGTGTCCCTAATGTGTTCCTATGTATTCAGAGTGTTGGGGTGGTTGTGTTTTCGACTGACCAATGACAATCTGCTGTGTATTCAGAAGTGGGGGTATTTGAGATTAAGGGAAAGTCATGACTTTTTGTGAGACTGTAGGGTTGGGTGTGTTTGGAGGCTGTGAAAAGTAATGAGCATAAACACTGGGAGTGGAGGTTAAGTGTTTGGAAATTGGGTTTTGTGATATTTCACCTGTCTTTTTTCTTTTGTTTGTTTGGCTCATGAATGCTGGGAAGTGTGCATGCACCATGGGAAGTTTGGAAATAAATATGTGTGTGCGTACATATGGGCAGTGTTAAGGACTGTGTTTGGGTATATTTCTCTGGGTTTGCAAAATGATTGATATAATTGGTAAATGTATGAGTATTTTTATATTCAGGACATGCTGTTTGTTTATGTGGGTTTATTTTTATTTTCCATATTCATATTCATGTATATATACTTGAGTGTCTCTGGCTGGATTGTGTGCACATTTGTGGAGTAGTAGGATTAATATTTATGATTGTGATATGGAGTTATTAGGATTCTGCATTTTGGACGATGAACAGTTATTTCTTTGTATTGGCAATTTGTGATCTTGTGTACGATGGTAGTATAGATATCGGGTCTCTTTGGGAATATTTGGGTATTTGTGTATGTTGGGTGATTGTATAGAGGTGTCATGCCCGTGGAGAGGTACATGTATATGCACATTATATTAACTAGCACACCTCAGAGGTGCTCATATGTGTGTGTTTATTGCATGTAACAGCCATAGTTATGAGAAGGAAGAGTATTTAGGTGTATGTGTATGTAAGGACATGGCAGTTTTGATGTGTAATTTCTCAGGGTATGTGTGCATTGAGTACAAACTTATTTGTATAAAACTGAGAAGTGTGTATTTAAAGTCTGTGCATATACAGGATGCTCAGGAGTTGTTTGTATGGTGAATGTAGGTTTGAAGGTTTAGGTGAGGTTTCCTGAATGAGTGGTCCTGGTATTTGTGTTTAGTCTCATGTGTTAGAAAAATATATGTTGTTGGTGGCTGCATGTCTTTGAATTCATGGATCTCTTGGGGTGTGCATTTTGGCAGTTGTGGGAGGTTCATTGTGTGCTTGGAAATAGATTGTATACATTGTGTGTTTAAGTGTTGTGGAGAAACGTATTTTACAAGTGTGGGATTTCATGTGTGTCTATTTGGGTATGCATGAGACAAGTGTCTGTGTACTTGTTGGTTTTCTAGAGTCTGTGCCATGTAGGGTATTCATTGTGGGTAGAGCAGCAGTGTGTTGGTTGTACAGGCATGTCTCCAGCTCATGTTGTATGTGCATGTGGTATATTTGAACATTTAAGGTGAATAGGGTGTTTTTCTGTAAAAGTTCATGTAATAACAGGAGTTATATCTGTTTAGGGTGCAGTTAGCAGTTGTACGTATATTCGGAAGCAATGAGGAATATTTATTGCTGGAGATATAATTTTTTTGTGTATTTGGTTTTGTGTATTGTAGTTTGTATTCCAGAGAAGACAAATTGCTTGTAGGAATTCCTTTGTATGCTGGAGATGGCTGGAACTAGTTGTGGTAATTGATGGGGCTCATCCCTTTTTGGGTTTGTATTTAGTGGTATCTGGTTGTTAGGTTGAAAATAGTCTTGGTTGGATAGACACACCTCATAAACTAAAAGTCAAGACTTTCTTACCTCCCCCTGGATGACACTGTATTAGGCATTTATTAGCACACCTCTAGAGTGTGTGTGTGTGTGTGTGTGTGTGTGTGTTTTCAGAATGTATGACTAGTCATCTGTGTGAAGTATACATAACTCAGGCAACAATGAGTTCAGGTGTTGGTAATTCTATGTGTATTGTGAGTGGGGCATCAGGAATCCTTGTGTGTACGCATTGACCGTGGTCATTGTTATCCACTACATTGCTTCTAACTGGGTTAGTTTATTCTTCAGGGCCCCAAACCCTCATGAATGTCGATTCCTTACTCTTCCTCATGTGAATATCCATTCAGGCACCTGGATGAAGTTGGCTTCTCTGAGGTTAAGCAGTGGATGAAGACACCAGCCTCCACAATGTGAGGCTGCCAAACACCTGCAGAACTTCTGCCCCAGAACCACTTGTGCCCTAGGTAGTGTTTGCTGCTGGATGTCAGGCAACCCTTCCTTGTGGAATCCTGAGGCTTCAGGGCTGGTCAGGACCTCCAAGGGCATCCTTGTAGGGGATTAGAGTGTTGTCCTTTTTTTTTTTTCTTACTAACCTACATGGCATTTTCCCTGGGAAACCAGGTCTTTTTAATGTCCTTTGCAATGGATTACAGCTACTTGTTTGGGGAGGTGGAATGCCCCTGATAATTTTTGAATAATTTTAGATTTTCTGTCATTCGTTTCATAGGAGATTTTTTTTTTTTTTGCAGTAAGTACTCCCCTGTCTTTCCAGTTGATTGCATATGCAACCTCATCAACAAGGCCTTATCAAGGCCCTGTCTCAACATAAAAAAGGGGTGGGGATGTTGCTTGGTGGTTAAATACCCCTGGGTTCTCTTTTGCAGGTACCCTCCTCCCCAATAGAATATATCCTAAGTAATCTTTTGTTTTGTGGCCTGATTCAGAGTTTAGATTCCCAGTAAACCCATTGTGCTAGGAAGTTTAGTTGCTGAGTAGTATTTTGGTCAGAGTTGTCTTTATTCAGGTTACAGGTGAGGATGTCATCTACATACTGAAGGGCAGTTCTAGCCAGAAGACCTAAGTCTTTTGAATCCATAAGTACCCAGACAAAGAAATGGGGGCTGTATGTCCAGATAAGTTGTTTAGAGTGTGTGTCTCAGGATCTCCCCATCCAATGGCAAAAGAGTTTTAGGAGTGGGATGCAGAAGTATAGAGTAGAAAGCCCCCTTGAGATCAAGGACAGTGCGCCACTGAGTGGTAGATGGAACCTGGGACAGCAAGGTGTGTTTGTTACCATGGGGCAGAGGAGGATCACTGCCTTATTGACCAAGTTTAAATCCTGGAATAATCTACAGTCCCCATTTGGTTTAGGCACAGAAGAATTGAGGTATTGCAGGATAACTGACAAGGAATTATAATCCCATACTGTGAAGATATACATGCAGTGGCTCTTAATCCATGCAGTGCTTCTGAGATCCTTAGGGAATATTGTCTTTTGTATGAATAACTTGTTCCCTTTAATGAAATCTGCATCAGTTGTGCATTCAGGGCTTGTCATGGGATTCCATTGTGTCAGACTTTGGGTCAACCACCAAAGAAACAGTATGAATTGTGATTTTACTCCTATACCAGTCGTACTTCTGAAATTGAGAGTAGCAGCATAGGATGTCAGGATGTAGCAAGTGTCCACAGGGAACTGCACTGACTTATCTGACACCTCAAGAACTACCCAGGGTTTCCTCATGTGAAATGGGAATGGTTGTTAGGGGCTTCTTTCTTCCATTAGACTCTCCAGTCTTTTTTTTTTTTTTTAATTATTCTTAAGTTTTAGGTGGACACAATATCTTTATTTTACATTTATGTGGTGCTGAGGATCAAACCTAGTGCCTTATGCATGCTAGGTGAGCGCTCTGCCACTGAGCAACAACCCCAGCCCTCTCTCCAGTCTTCTTGAAGGGGCCAGATGTTGTGTTTTCAACCCTTTTCTCACTGGGAATGGGCCAAGTTCACCTTTCAGTGTCAGTTGACAGGGTCATCCTTATATGTAGACAAAGTCTTGGGCAGGAGTGGGTGTTGGGCTTGTGCACTTGGGTGCCAAATGTCCATTTCCCTTGCATTTGGAGCTACTCTGCTTTCAGTTGCTTCCTGCTGTATTATCATGGGGACTGAATCCTGACCTGTCAAGTGGTAGGTTTTACTGGAGGTGAGCTGACTGTGAGTGGGACATTTGAGCCTTTCGTGCATCCCTCCTTTTTCCTTAGCAGATGTTATTGAAGACAGAGAAAGTCATATCAACTGATTTTGAGGAGCCCAAAGTTCCAATTGAAGCTTTTGGAGTTTTCTCTGGATATCAGGGACAGACTGAGCAATAAAGGGCTTGTCCCTAAAGGGAGATCAGGTCTAGATTGTTGTACCTGCTAAAGATCTCATTAAGACATGTATGGAATCCACAGGATTTTCTT